GAGTCCATTTTGTGTATTTACATGTCAACACACATAGACCAATGTTGTAGACAATATTTGCTGCAGTAAATGCTGCAGTTGAACCTCCATGTGATGTTTTGCACACATGCAGGCATACCTGTACTTTTTATAGAATTACAAGCCATTGATATTTCTTTTCCTGATGTTAACTAAAAATGTCCATGATCTTAGATTGCCAAGATTATTTGTTGTTGATTTTAAGAGCTCTTTGTGTTATGGACATTTGCAGCTATTTTACCAAATGTGTGTGTGTGTGTGTGTGTGTGTGTATGTGTGAGTGTGTGTATTACCAGAAATTGAACTCAGAACCTTGCACTTGCAAGGCAGGCGGTGATGCCACTGAGCTAAATCCCCGGTCCTACCAACAATATTTTTAACCACTTTAGTTATGGTATGCAGTGGGCTCTTGACTTACATACTCAACTTCTTCCTGAGTATTGGTTGTAACTCAAGTTGGTCAGTTGAAGGCTCAGGGTCCTCTACACAGCCTTCAAAGTCTCTCTCCTGTACACAGGTAGCTCTCAGTGTCCTTAGAGAGACACTGGCCCAGGATTTCTCATTTAACCCCACATAGAAAAGGATGTTTAAATGTTCCTTCCAGAACTCTTTAAGGGTTAAATCTGTATTTGAGACCATCTGGAAGCACAAGTGGCCAACATTCAGGTTGTAACTCAAGACTTTGATAATATGTTAAAACTAAAATTCTGGTTGTAACCCAAGTTGTCCATATGTCAGCCTGGTTGTAACTTGAGGGTCCACTGTATTTTTTTGCATGAAAAGTATGTTTTTATTTTATTTTGCCAGTGCTGGGAAGCTTTCCAAACTTCTCAATACAAACAAATTTTATTTATCTTTTGAGATTGGGTCTTGCTGTTTCCCAGGGTGGTCTCAAATTTGTGATCCTCCTTCCAAGTAGCTGAGACTGCTGGTGCATGCCCCTTTACCTGGCTAAACCTTTTTTTTTTTTTTTTCCCCTAAAGAACTGCTTATTTACTGAACCTGGGGCATAGTAGATGCACAACCAATTTTACTTTATTTTTTTATTTAAAAATTTTTTTTTTGGTACCAGGGATCAAACTCAGGATCCTGTGCTTGCTTGCCAGGCAGGCAGGGTACCACTGAGCTACATCCTCCACCCCACAACCAATTTTAAATTTATATATTTTAATTCAATTTTGAAGTGTTTCCACGCAAAAAAATTGGCATGCAACAGTTGTCCTGAGATGAACACTCACCTTATCCATAAACTGTTGCAAGTATTTTCACCCAAGATTGAAAAGTTGTTTGGAAAATGAAAACCTATAACAAATTTAAATTTACTATGTAAAATTGTTATTTATAGTTTTCCTCTTGCAAAGATCCAAAAAATGTACAAGTAACTAATACATCAATCACAGCATAATCCTGGATCACTCCCACACCAAACCTAGAAATTCCTTAAGTCTTAAATCCATCATCAGAAAAAGTCTTCATTTCACATAAAACAAAATTCACCAAAAAAACTCACATAAAACAAAAAGACAGACACAGGATGATCAAAAACAAGAACCACAGTACTGACACTGACGCTGCTGTTCAGTGCCCTGATGTGGTGTAAGAGACCACTGATGAAAAGTAAAGTAGTGGCTGTTCACCACTGCAAAGAAACCTAAGGGGATTTATTTAACCTTTAGGCGTCAGAAATCCCAATTTTTCCAATGATGTGGTTGTGTATTTCCTACATGACAAACCCCCAAAAATACCTATCACCACCACCACTACCAACAACAAAGCATGTGGAGAAGCTGATTCATACATGTATTGTTGGTAGGAGTGTAAAGAGTACAGTTATGCTGGAAAAGATTACAGTTTCTACGCTATGCATGTGCTGTATGATGTAGCAGTTGCAATGGTGGGCATTTATCCCCTAAATAGTGAGTGCTCAGGTACATCGACGTTTATAGCATGTTTATTTGTAACACCAAAATATTGGAAACAAATCAAATGTCTTCCGGTGGATGTTCATTGTATACCGTCAAAACACTACTTAGCGATACGAAGGAACAAACTTGATTTCAAGAAAATTATGTGCAGCAAAGTAAGCCAGTCTCAAAAGGCTGCATGCCACATAATTACATTTATACGACTTTCTGTAGAGGGAAACCTGTGCTCAAGGTTGCGGGTGGGAGAGGGCATGACTGCAAAGGGGTCAGTGGAATTATTTGTCCCGATTGTGTTTGTGGCACATGAATTAAAATTCTCAGACTGAATAAAAAGTGAGTGTTGGTGTAGGCAAATAAAAATGTCTATACAGTAAAAGGAGTTGTTCACATATACGTCTTTAAAAATCGTTCCAAACGCCCAAAATGACCTCCTCAGAAGATCTGCTGTGGGGAGCTGGCAGGACGCAGCTTCCCTCGCCCCAACGACCTCTCCCTCTGCCCCTCGGTGTAACAGATCCAGGAGCCGTGCGGCTGCAGGCTACTAGTTTCTGCAGACTCCTTGCTAGGCCGCGAAGCAGGGTTTCTGCCTCTTCACCTCGGCAGTCTCTCTCAGCCTGCAGCTCGGTCTCCTCGGCTGCCCCGGTGTCCCGGTTCCCCATCCCGAGCGAGGATCCCCCCTCCCCGCGTCTCCCTGCCCCTTCCTGTCCTCTGTATTTGTTCCAGCGTATCTCTCCAACTCTGGCCTCGGACTGACTCTTGGTCTTCTCTGTCTCTGCCCATCTGTCTCGACCGGCGCGTTCAGGGTTTTCCGGTTGCTTTTACTTCCAGCCTCCACGTCACCCGGTCTTTCCGCCTCTCCGCGCCTTTGTCTCCGCCTGTCGGGTAGCTGGTTCTCTGGGCAGCTTTTTGTATCCGCTTGTTTACACCGTTGCCATGGCATAGGAGAAGACGTAGGCGCCAATGGGGTGGGATGGAGAGAGGACCCTGCCTCTGATTGGCTGGCTGTCCCGTCAGCGCGACCTTGCCCCTTCCAGGCAGCGCGGCGGCCCTTCAGCTTCCTGGGATTCGCAGTCCGCGGGGCTGGCCGGCGCG